TTATTCAAGATTTTAAGTTATTTTAGAAACTTTAAACCTTCAAAGTTTAACATATAATTTTATTTATAAATCTTAAATATTTTATTTATTATTAAACTTTTCAATATTTTATATATATTACTTAACTTTTTTTATTAAAATTTTTAAATTTGCAATTTAATATTTTATTTAAATTATAATATATAATTTTTATATTAATTTTTATTAATTTAATATTTTCTTCCTAATACTAGAAATTTTTTTTCTTAAATAAATTTACAATTTATTACTTTATTCAGACATAGTATTTTTTATATTTTTTTTAATTATATAAATAAATGACTTTTTTCTACTAATCATAAAATTATTGGAATTCTTTACTTTATTATAGCAATTTGATCCGGTTTAATCGGCTCTGCAATAAGTATACTTATTCGCCTAGAATTAGGTACTTGTCAAAATTTAATTAACAATGATCAAATCTATAACTCCTTAATTACTAATCATGCATTTATTATAATTTTTTGTTAAGGCTTTTGGGTCGAGGAAACAATTATGACACAACGTTTATTCGACTCACGATAGTATATTTAGGAGAGTTACAAAAAGAGACTGTGTCTTGTGTTAACAGATACTATAAAGTGTAGACGCGCGAACTTGAGATTCGTACAACAGCGAGGTAACGGTTGTTAATGGTGGCGTAACTCAAGCGTCCATAAAGACAACACCATCGGTGCTATCGCTGATAGGCTGTGGCGTTCGAGATTGCGCAACACGCGCCGTATGTTGGGACGTTCATCTTAACATTTTTTTTATAGTCATACCTTTTATAATTGGAGGATTTGGAAATTTTCTTATTCCTCTATTATTAGGTTCACCAGATATAGCTTTCCCTCGAATAAATAACATAAGATTCTGATTTTTACCACCTTCTTTAACTCTTTTAATCATAAGAAATTTTATTTACTCTGGTACAGGAACTGGGTGAACTATTTATCCACCACTTTCTTCTAATACATTCCATAGAGGTCCCTCTATTGATCTCTCAATTTTCTCTTTACATATCGCAGGAATATCTTCTATTCTTGGTGCAATTAACTTTATTTCAACTATTTTCAATATACATCATAAACTTTTATCATTAGATAAAATTCCTCTTTTAATTTCATCAATTCTAATTACAACTATATTACTTTTACTAGCTCTTCCAGTTTTAGCTGGAGTAATTACTATACTCCTTACTGATCGAAATTTAAATACTTCATTCTTCGACCCCTCAGGTGGTGGAGATCCTATTCTTTATCAACATTTATTTTGATTTTTTGGACGCCCTTTAAGTTTATATTTTAATCCTACCCGGATTTGGCCTTATTTCTCATATTATTATAAATGAAAGAGGAAAAAAAGAAACCTTTGGATCCTTAAGGATAATCTATGCTATAATTACTATTGGATTCCTAGGATTCATTGTTTGGGCTCACCATATATTTACTATTGGATTAGATGTTGACACGCGAGCTTATTTTACCTCTGCAACTATAATTATTGCTATTCCTACAGAAATTAAAATTTTTAGTTGAATCTCTACTCTTCATGGTATTAAAATTAATTATAATCCTACACTTTGATAATCCATAGGAATTATTTTTTTATTCTCTATAGGAGGATTTACAGGTATTATACTCTCAAATTCTTCTATTGATATTATTCTCCATGATACTTATTATGTTGTCGCACATTTCCCCTGCACCCACACCGTCGTCAGAGGTCTGCCCGACAGTACTATCATAGCAACAGTATAATCGTAGAAGTCGTGTGCCCCTGTGCAGGAGGAGGGGGGGGGGGGTAAAAGTTACTTCGCGTGGAAGGTCAAAACCTATGTAGAATAGTATTTAATACTGTATATATAGCAGAAATAGGACGTTATTTTTGAAACTTTTTTTGTTAATATCTTTTTAACGAAGGGCGAGCGACGGTTGTTAAGGCAAAGTTACTCAGGGTCATGACCTTGACAACATATGTCAAGGTCAAGAAGATCGGAGCTGTTTCCCCTATTCCGAAGATTTACCTAAAAGTTTTTCTAAATTTTTATTTTTACGTACTTATATTTTATATTTATCAGGAGACGCGGTAGTGCTTCCGGCCATATTCAAAAACTGAAAGACACTGCAAGTCTCTTATCCCGAGCCACCAAGTTCATTTTTGGAGGGTGCAGAACTACTAAAATATATAAAATATTGAAACGAACGTTATATGTCCTGAAAAGCGCCATCGCCACGAGTAATTTGACCCAAAAAAATTTTAAATCGGTCAAGCCGTTCTGGAGATACAAGCGGTCGAAAAGTGATGATTTTAATGCAAGTTTCTGTCTGTCTGTCTGTATGTATGTTCGTATGTCCGTCCGTCCATCCATCCGAAATATGTAACTATTTAATATCCCCTCTCACCTTTCACTCACACCTCCACCATCTTCGACCCGCCGGACTTCCTACACCTGCCCCTCCCCCTCCCCCACTACCCACCCCACTACCCCTCTCTTTCACCGTATTTTACTCTCTTTCGTTATTACAACTTTTTAACATCCTCTTTTACCTTTCACTCACACTTCCACCATCTTTGACCCAACGGACCTCCACCCCCTCTCCCCACCATCCATCTCTATTACCCCTCTCTTTCGCCGTATTTCACTCTCTTTCGTTATTTTTTTATATATATTTGTGATAAATTTGTACTTTGAAAAGTAAGTGATATCCGAAAAAAATCATATCATAAAAAATTTAACACAAAAATGAAAACTTTACAAGAATTAGTTTAAAAAAAAAACTCCCGACTGCTGCCAAAAGTGAGTTACATTAACAAACTAAAAAACTAAAACTTAACAAACTAATAAAAAAAAAAGTTTTAAAATTAATAGAAAATAAAAATAAGAAAATAATAATAAACTAAAAAATTGGAAACTATTAAAAAACTAAAAATTATTTAAAAAGTCTAGTTTAAAAAGTTTAAAATAATTTAAAAAGATAGATTTAATTAATAACAATATACATAAGTCGTAGAAATCTAGTTTAAACAGTTTAAAATAAGGGTTGCAACACATAATAAAAAATATACATTAAATAAACTTAATATACCTCCCAGGTCAAAAACTAATTGAGCTATACTAGTTGTTAGAAATATATATAAATTTGATATATTAATAATTACATCGGTATATACGGAAAAGTTTCGACTTCACAGAATCCTCAACAATCGCAACCAAATTCTTAAAAATTAATTAATTTTTGTTTTCTTTTTATATTATTTTTTTAATTTTTTTGGTATATTGCGAAGAATATCACAAGTCGGCGTTTCGTCCCAGCCTCCACTACTAGACTCATCAGTAAGATAACGTAGTGGAAGCCTACCTTAGACGCCGGTGTAAATTATTAAATCAAGACTCTACATAAAGCAATATATGTATATTTCAACAATTTGGTGGGGGACTTAAAGTGGGTAAGCTGGGGGGAGAGTGATTATATATATTACATAAATATTGCGAAGAGTATTACTACGTCGACTCGCTATCAGATATTTGTTGATATTCGCGAAATTCTCGAAATTGTTGAAATATACATATGGGTCATTCCATGCCAAGTGGGCCACTCAAAACTTTTGGATTTTTGATTTGGCTGAAATTTTGATATATTATAGTACCCATCGTAAGAAGCTACCATAATTTTTTTCAAATTTTTTTATCAACATAGTCATGAGATATGAATTATTTTATCAAAATCGCATTTTTCAAAATTTGCAATTTTCAAATGCCTATAACTTTACGAAAAATAATCCAAACAAAACTTTTTTTTTTAAATTGTGCTTCTTTCTCTAGTTTTCAAAAAAAAAATATCAAGAAAAGTTTCAAAATTGTTTTTTAATTTTTTTTGTAATTTAATGTAAAAAATTATTAATTTTTTAAAGTATGACACGTTTAATTTTTTTAAAAAAATTCTCATAAAAACTAAGATTTATTTGATGATTTTTAAGACTAATTTGATCGTGGGCAAATTTTTCCTTCTATTTTTTTTCGAATTAATTTTTTTTTAATTTTGTATTTTTTACGCAATGGAATAATAACATGATTTTGTCATGATCTACAATTTTTTTATTTATTCTCAATATAATAAATAACTTTGATATTTTTACAATATTTTTTGAGAAATTGGGAGTTTTTCTTATAATTAAAAAATATTTTAATCAATAAATATTTTTCGTCGAGAAGGTATCAAAATTTATTTTCTTAAACGTTTAAATAATTTACATACTCTACATTCCTCAGAATTAGAATACTCTTTTACAGTAATACAACCTTTTTTATTAGGATTGATACAATGTAATTTTTGGTAAATATATAGAAAAGAGGAGCCCCCCGCCCCCGATGATCTTGACCTTGACATATGTTGTCAAGGTCATGACCCTGAGTAACCTCCCCCAGGTTTTAGGTGGCGGTCACTGTCCGTTAAAAAGTTATTAACAAAAAAAGTACTATAATACACTCGCATGCAAAAAAAGCGGTACACTGAAAAATTAGGAAAAATTTACCAAATTTCAAATGATCATAACTTGGTAAATAATAAAGATAAAAATATGTTTAAAAAAGGAAAATAAAGCTTGAAGTGTCCACTTTAAGAATATTTGAACGGCAATTATAAGGGGTAATTTTTTTCAAAATGGCGGATTACAAAATGAGAAGATGTAAAATTTGTAATCAAAGGTGCCAGTTTGCGACGATCCACGGCGTGAATCAGGTATCGCAGCTCAATGGGACAAAAAGCACACGAAAATATGGACTTTTATCTTTAAAATGCTTTTTTACGGAGTTTGATACGATCATTTTTCACTGAGTTATTCCAAATTTAAGGTATCGCTGTCATTAGCACAAATTATGGCTGTAATTCATGTCAATATGAACTGTATCGAGTTTGACAGGTCGGAATTGAATCTCAATTTGTGTGTGCGCGCGCGTGTGTGTGTGTGTGTGTCTGTGTATGTGGGGGGGCGTGTATGTATACATATGCATGTGTATGTCCTTCTCTTGGCGTTATCCAGGATCAACGGTGTGGACGTGACAGGAATCTGATCCCGTGTGTGTGTGTGTGTGTGTGTGTGTGTGTGTGTGTGTGACACGGGTGTGCGTGTATATCACAGCAGAGATGAGGACCCCACGGTTCGTCACTTCCGCAGTGTTTTCAGACTCCAAACTCTCTCTGCTGTGTGTGTGTGTGGGGGGGGGGGCGCGCGCGCGCGATCGTGTTTGTGTATTAATAGTGGGTATGACTTCCTCGTACGCGTATTACCTAATTTATGCGATCAGGCATACTCCTTATTAGTCTTTCAATTTCGTTCTGTGTAATTGCGTTCCATTCGTTTTAATACGAATGCACTTCACGCGCAGGAGACAGCGACGCGCACACGTGGTGGCCCGACGAAGCTCCGCGAGCTCGGACCACCAATACGCGGAGCGGCGGATGGACGGACGACTGCGCGGCATTGCGACATCGCAGACCTGACGCATCGTCCGCCCCAGTCGCTCCTCGCCTTCTTCCACCCGCGCGACAGCGGGGGCCAACCCTTGGCTCCGCCGGCGCACCGACGTCCCCACCAGAGGGTGACAGAGGAGGCGTTGCGTCTTGGGCCTAGACAAGGGCCTCCAACGCCGCCTCCATCTTGTCAGCGTCCAGCGCTCTTACCCTCCAGCGGGGACGTCTATCCAATCCACCCTCTCCCTCTTCACGCCTCCATGCGGGAGGAAGAGGAGGGACCGGGGGCGGAGCGACGGCCACGGACATCTCGATGAGGCAATGATCCGCTTGCTCACCGAGAGCTCATGGCCGCACCCTCCACCCCCATATCTCGTTCCGGATGGCAGGGGAGGCCCATGTCAGATCGACAATGGACTCCCCCCTGCCACCCACAAAAGTGGAGTGACACCCAACATTGAGGAGGCAGAGGTTTAGGCTGTTCGCCCATTCCTCCACCTCCTCACCCTTCACGTTCGTACGGGGGGAACCCCACACGCGCGAATGCGCGTTGAAGTCCCCCCCAACGATCCAGGGGCGCCGGGAGAATCTGCGCAAGCAGTCCCCCATGCGCCCCAGTGCCACCTCGTACTCAGCCAGACGCAGGCTGGGCACGAGGTAGCACGACATAACGTGAGTGCCACCCCACTCTACGGCAACGAATCCCGGCTCTGCCTCCAACAGAGACATGGGCGGGGACCCGCCGCCGCGGCCCCAGTAGATCGCCGCCAACCCACCGACGTCCACCGCCCAGTGTGGGTGG